TGTGGACTAAAATGTGGCTGTTTTAGTCAGCTATTTTGCTGCTGTGACTAAAGGAGCTGACCAGAACAACTGTACAAGAGGAAAAGTTTATTTGGGGGCTCACGGTTTCAGAAGTCCAAGTCCGTGGAGCTCAAGGTGATGCAGGACATCATTGCATAAGAGTGTGGCAGAGGGAAGCAGCTTACATGGTGATCAGAAAGCAGATGGACTGACCAGCCCACTCGACAGATATACCCAATTCCTGCCTCCTCCAGCCACACCCTACCACTTCAATTACCACTCAGTAAATCCCTATCAGGGGATTAAATCACTGATCGAGTTAAGACTCTTACAACCCAATCATTTCTTTGAACCTTCTTACATTGTCTCATATGTGAGCTTTTGGGGGGATACCACATCTAAACTATATCAGTGACAGTGTTATTTATATGGAGTTTTAGAGGCTTTTTTGTATCTGGACTTATCCTTTACAGAACTTCAGGTGTAATTCATTTGATTTTTTAAAAAAGGTTTTATAAAAATATTCTATATATTCTAATGTAAGTTAAAGAATATCTTTTGGCTCATGCCAGTGGCTCAGGAAGCTGAGGCAGGAGGATTACAAGTTTGCCAGTGTCAACAATACAGCAAGGCCCTAAGCAACTTAGTGAGACCCTGTCTTTTTTTTTTTTTTTAAGATGTTGATGGACCTTTATTTTGTTTATTTACTTATACTCGGTGCTGAGAATCGAACTCAGTGCCTCACACATGCTAGGCAAGTGCTCTCCCACTGGGCCACAACTACAGTCCAGAGACCCTGTCTTAAAGGTAAAAAATAAAAAGGTCTGGGGATATAGTTAAGTGGTGAAGTGCCTCTGGATTCAGTACCCAGAAAACTGACCTCCCCCCCCAAAAGAATATCTTTTGAGGTTTTTTTTTTTAAAAAAAAAGCCTTCAGATATAAGAAAAGTTTCTGTTCAAAGATAGTTCTTGGCACTCATGAGGTATTCAGTAAGTTTTAATTGAGTATTTAATGTATGCATGAATGAAAAGTATCATTTGTGAATATGGACTTCATATTCCTTGATTTGGGTACAGTCTGGCATCGTTGTTCAGAGATCTTCTGTTCAGCTCTGTCCTATGCCCATTTCTCTCCCCTACCTCACAGGCACACTCTCTAATGTGTCTGATATTTGTCCTTGATTCTATATGTATCTTTGTAAAATACTTAGTGAGGGGCTGGGGTTGTGGCTCAGCTGTAGAGCACTTGCCTAGCATATGTGAGGCCCTAGGTTCGATCCTCAGCACTATGTAAAAATGAATAAATAAAATTAAATTGTTTTTTTTTATTGTTTTATTTTTTATTTTTTTGAGGGGGGGGGAGAGAGAGAGAGAGAGAGAGAGAGAATTTTTAATATTTATTTTCTAGTTCTCGGCGGACACAACATCTTTGTTGGTATGTGGTGCTGAGGATCGAACCCTGGCTGCACGCATGCCAGGCGAGTACGCTACCGCTTGAGCCACATCCCCAGCTCAGTTTTTTTTTTTTTAAAGTAAAATACTTAGTGATTTTTTTTTGTATCTTTAATTATAAAATAGCTCGTTACACCATACTTTCGTAGAATTTGGCTGTAGAATTCTCCACATAAAAATGCCATAGATCCTACTCAGATTTTTAATCTTTTCACTCAGCACTGTTTTTAGATCTATTTATGCTGAATATAGTTTTTGCTGATTGTTCCTAACTGTAGCATAGTATTCTATGGGGTGTATCCATTCCCATAGCAGTGGACACACAGGCTGCCACAAACAATGCTACCAGTGTCCATTATGAACATATTGAGAATTTCCGGGATGCAGACTCAGGAGGGCCATTATGATGTAAGTGCTATTAGGTGCTGAATGATTGTGTAGTGTACACCCGATAAGCATTGTGTTCCTATAACCTCTTAAAACTTGGTATTGTCCACATTTAGAAAACATTTTTGCCATTTAATACTGTCTCAATATGTATTTCTAATTATCATTGAATTTGAGCATTTCTTCATATTCTAGTTAGCTGTTTGCTGCTTTTATGTGAATTGCCTCTTCGTATCTTGTTTCCCGAGTTTTTCTTGTTGACTCATAGAATCAACGAGGTTGATTTTTCTTGTTGATTTTTTATGAATATAAAATCCCTGGTTGGTTTTGAATCATGTGAATATCATTTCCTTGGGTATCATTATTAATTTTTTCATGTAGTTGAATCCATAATTTTTTAGCCTTAATATCTATTTTCCTTATTAGTGCTCCTTGGACTTAGGTCTCTCAGATTATTTATTATTTTTAGCTTTATAGTTTTACTTTTCTCATTAAGTTTTTAATGTATATGGAACAATTTTTCTCCTTTTCTTCCTGTGATTGAACCCATGGCCTCTTGCATGCTAAGCAAACGCTCTACCACTGAGACTTAGTTCCCTTTTGTAATTTTGATTGAGATTGTGCTTTTAGATTGATTTAGCAAGACTTGGCATCTTTTTGCAAAGTCAAGTTATTCCATCTATAAGCATGAAAGAGTGAATAGTATTTCTTAAAATTTTTATTTATTGTTATAGAACTGGGGTTGAACCTGGGGGTACTCTACCTCTGAGCTACATCCCCAGCTTTTTAAATTTTATTTGTTTTATCTTTTTGTGGTATTGGGGATTGAAATTAGGATCTCTCACATGCCAGGCAAATGCTCTAACATCCTCAACACTTTTCAAATTTTCAGATAGAGCTTTCTAAGTTGGTGAAGCTGGCCTCAAATTTGTGATCCTCCTACCTGAGTTTTCCAAACAGCTGGAATGTACTTGGCTCTTTTTTATTTCCAGAAAAGATCTTGCTAAGTTGCTGAGGCTGACCTCCAACTTTCCTCCTGCCTTGGCCTCCCAAGTAGCTGGGATTATAACAGACAATGCACCACCACATCCAGCTATTTTTTTTTTTTTGTTTATAAAGCTAGAGGAAATTTGGGATATACATATATTTTGTAAGATAATAATGTATGTTATCAGACTTTACAAAAAAGAAAGCTGGGCATAGTGGTATGTGCCTGTAGTTCCACTAACTCAGGAGACTGAGCTATGAGGTGTCTCCTGAAAGCTTCTGTGTTAATGCAGGAATAGCCAGAGGTAAAATGGTTAGATTGGGAGAGCTGTAACCTGTCAGCCCATCCCAGTTTAAATGGCCTGACTGGGTGTTAACTGCAGGCAGGTAGGATGAGTTGGAGGAGGTGGGACACTGGGGGCATGCCCACTGTGCCTCTTCCCTATGGCCCTTCTCTCCCTCTGTCTCCTTTCTAGCCACCTTTAGGTGAACTTCTTTCCTTGGCCTTGCTCTTTGGCCATGATGTCCTGCTTCATTTTGGGACTCAGAGCAATGCACTGAGACCTGAAACCATGAGCCCCAAATAAACTTTCCTTTCTATAAGTTGTCCTTGTCAGGTTACTTTGGTAGAAGCAATGCAAAACTGACTAAAACAAGGATTTTCTCTCTCTCTCTCTCTCTCTCTCTTTTTTTTTTTGGTACCAGGGATTAAACCCAGGAGTGCTTCACCACTGAGCCATATTCTTTTTTTTTTTTTTTAAAGAGAGAGTGAGAGAGGGGAGAAAGAGAGAGAGAGAGAGGGGAGAAAGAGAGAGAGAGAGAGAGAGAGAATTTTTAATATTTATTTTTTAGTTCTCGGCGGACACAACATCTTTGTTGGTATGTGGTGCTGAGGATCGAACCCGGGCAGCACGCATGCCAGACGAGCGCGCTGCCGCTTGAGCCACACCCCCAGCCCAATATTCTTAAGCTTTTTATGTTTTATTTTGAGACAGGGAGTTGCTAAGTTGCTGGGGCTGGCTGGCTTTGAACTCACAGTCCTCCTGCCTCAGTCTCCTGAGTTACTGGGATTACAGGTGTGTGACATTGTGCCCGGCTAAAACAAGCATCTTTTGAGCCTACAAATTCAAGGTCAGATGGAGCAATATTTTGAGACCCCCCCCTCCCGTCTCAAAAACAAAAACAAAAGAAAATTTAAACAGCATAAAGTAGATTTTTATTCCAGATTTTAGGAGACCATGAAACAAAAAGATGTTTAACATTCTATTTAAAAACTATTGGTATGCTGTAGTTAAAATACTTTGCTAGTAATCTATTCTTATCTTCATTTATGCTGAAAAATGGGGGGCAAATGTGTTTACCAAGGTAGCTTTGGTATGGCTTAGCTTTAAAAAAAATTTTCATGGTCAGAAATGAATAGAATGTCAAAAAATAACAAACAAAACCAGAGTTTGCTATTTCTGTGTTTGCAGTTTACTTAGATGTCAGAAAATGGAGTAAATAACAAGCCACACCTTCTATCTGCCTTCTCACAATGACCCTAACATGTGATTAATAAGTATGGTTTTAATACTCCTTCATTATTAGTGGATGATAGCAAATACTTTATCCCTCATTTTGCTATGAAAAGGCAATACAGAATATAGCTTTCTTAATTTTGAAAGTATCTGGAGATATAGAGAACAGCATATTTTGTAATTCAGATGTCAGTTGTTGGGGTCTTAGAGGAAGCTGGGCAGCAGTTGTTTCTGGTTTGTGCGTAGGTTCTGCTCTTTCTTGTTTCAGTCTTCAGAAATGGGTCAGTGACTGACTCAGAATGATCTTCACCTGTTCCAACAGGCATGAAGTATATGTGCTTCCTTTCCCTAAGGATGCAATATAGTTGTTTTTTTAAAAATGTGTTTTCATTTCTGACCAAAATGTGAAGCAAACCGATTGTTCTGCAATTTTTCAAAACTATTTTTTAAATGTAGATGGACACAATATCCTTATTTTATCCATTTATTTTTATGTGGTGCTGAGGATCAAACACAGTGCTAGACAAGCCTCACATGTGCCAGGCAAGCACTCTACCACTGAACTACATCCCCAGCCCTGTTCAGAAATTTTATGATAAGCTATTCTCTAGAGCTGCATAGTTCTCATCCTGGGATCTACTTTCTCCCATGTCCTAGGTATTTCCTTTGCCTTCCTATGTTGAAAATGGTACCACCCCCAATCCCAATGTTTCCTGGACCTCATATCTTCCTCCTTTGTCATTTCTACTTAATTTTGTGGAGCCACCTCTTCTAGAAGCTCTGGAGGAAACCATGCATGGGATGTACATTGTTTGTAAATCTGCAGGTACGAAAGTTATTCATTTAAGAAAAAATTACCCAATCATTGATTTATAGTTTTTCTGGTTATAGAATTCTAGATTGAAGACTATTTTCTCTGAGTTGGCATTGCTCTGTTGACGTCTACCTTCTGTTGCTCCCAATGAGAAGTCTAATGCTATTCTGATTCTTGATTCTTTTTGCCTCCCTAGAGATGTTATGAAATTTTACGGTAACCTGATTCACTCTGGGCCTTATTGTATCTGTTATTCTGGGAATTCTGAGGGCCTTTTCAATTTAGAAACATTTCCCCCCCCCCACTTCTGGAAGATTTTCTTAATTTTTAACTGATCTTTTTCTCCTCTGTCTTACTCTTAGCTTCCCCTATTCTTTCTCTCGGGAACTTATTTATTTATTTATTTATTATTTTGGTACTGAGATTTTTTTTTTTTTAGTTGTAGATGGACAGAATACTTTAAAAAAAATTTATTTGTTTATTTTTATATGGTACCAGGGATCAAGCCCAGTGCCTTACACATGCTAGGCAGGCGCTCTATCACTAAGCTCCAATCCCAGCCCCTACCCAGCCCTTTTTATCTTTTATTTTGAGACAGGGTCTTGCCAAATTGCTTAGGGCCTTACTAAGTTGCTGAGACTGGGCTCAAACTTGCCATCTTCCTTTCTCAGCCTCCTGAATGCCAGGATTATAGGCCTGCACCACCAGATCTGTCTTGAAACTTACTGTGTTGGGACTTCTGGACTGAAAAGTTCTATAATTTTCTCATCTTTTATATTTTCCATCTGTTTGTCTCTTGGTTTACTTTCTGATAAGTGTCTTGGCCTTCTAATTAGTTCTATATTTTTGCCGTCATTTTAAATTTTTTTATCTGAATGTTACTTTTTAATACTCTTGTATTTTTTTTGTTTTATAGATGGAATAACTCCTGAGTATGTTAATTATAAAGTTTTAAAAAAGTTTATTCAGCTTCCTTTACTCTCTCAATTTCCTTAAAATACCTTTATTTATTTGTTTTGGTCTTTCATTTAGGGAGTTTCTTTAAATATACAAGGGTTTTTACACATATTCAGGAGTGAGCCTCTGAAAAACCAAAAGCTGACTTTGCCAAAGTGCAAATTCTGAAAGTTACTGGTGGTAGTTGTTATTTATTGTGGTACTGGGGATTGAATCCAGGGGCACTTCACCACTGAGTTATACTCCCAGCCCTTTCCATTTGTTAAATTTGAGGCAGGTTTCACTAAATTGCTGAGGCTGCATGATTTGCCATCCTCCTGCCTCAGCCTCCCAAGTAGCAAGGATTATAGGTGTGTGCCTGGTTCCCTGCCTGGTAGTCTTCATTATGAAGTGATTAGCCAGGGACCCAACTTTTTAGAGACGGCCCTGCTAGCAGTCAGTAAATGTAGTTTTTCTCGTGGACATGGCTTATCAGTCTGACTGCAGTGTTTGGGGGCTGAGTGGGGACACCTTCAGAATATTTATCTTAATTCCAATATTTTTTAGACAGGTGGGTTGACCCTAGTTGTTCCTAAGTTCATAGTCTATTTACTAATCTTTTTAGAGAGAGAACTCCCATTTTCTGCCCAGTAGCTGCTGGGAATCAGACTGGAGTGTTTCTCTCTCTCTCTCTCTCTCTCTCTCTCTCTCTCTCTCTCTCTCTCTCTCTCTCTCTCTCTCTCTCTCTTTTTCCCAGCCCTACCTTCTGATCCCCCTTTCAGAGTCATTCTGAGTTTTTCTGATGGACAGTTCAGTTTGCTCGGGGCTTCTGCTCAACATGCCCTTGGGTTTTAGCCTTCTTTGTCTTGTTGAATCAAATAACTTATTAATTTTTTTTTCTTCCACAACTTTCTTGTATTCACAACAAAAAATAAGTATGTAAAGTGATGGATATGTCAGTTAGCTATATTTAAGCATTTCACAGTGCATAGACATATTAAAAAATCACTTTGTACATTGCAAATATACACTGTTTTGTCAACTATACCTTAGTGAATATAGCTTCTCTAAATGGAGGATTAAAACAACTCCTCCTCTTCCCTTCTCCCATCCTTCACTGAGATTGAATACAGGGGTGCTCTACCACTACAACCCCAGTCCTTTTTATTTGTAGACATGAGTCTTACTAGGTTTTTGAGGCTGGCCTTGAACTTGAGATATTCCTGACTCTGCCTCCCTAGTTACTGGGATTACAGGCCTGAGCCCATCGTCTTCACTTATCTAAACTAGAATTGACCTCTTTTGTAGTGTTCTTTTTCTTCCACATATGGCTCTATCTTTTCCTTTTAAACTAACTGGAAATAGAAGCCCTTTCCTATTCTACTTCTCCTCCTTTTCTTCCTCCTCCTCCTCCTTCTCATCATTATCATTACTATTATTGTTGTTATTTTTTGCAGTGTTGGGGATCCAGCCCAAAGCTTTGTGTATGCTAGGCAAGCATTCTACCACTGAGCCACATTCCCAGCCTTTAGAAACCCTATTTCCATTAGTTATGTCACCCAGATATCCTGTTAATTTACTCTAGGCTTGAAGTCACAGTTATTTGTGAAATTAAAAAATTTTATTTTATGGCCAGTTGTGGTGGCACATGCTTGTGATCTTAGTGGCTCTGGAGGCTGAGGCAGGAGGATCATAAGTTCAGAGACAGTCTCAGCAAAAGCAAGGCACTAAGTAACTCAGTGAGACTCGGTCTCTAAATAAACAATACAAAATAAGTCTGGGATGTGGCTCAGTGGTCAAGTGCCCCCGAGTTCAATCCCTAGTACCTCCACCCCAATAATATATTTTTTTTAAAGAGAGAGAGAAAGAGAGAGAGAGAGAGAAAGAGAGAGAATTTTTAATATTTATTTTTTAGTTTTTGGCGGACACAACATCTTTGTTTGTATGTGGTACTCAGGATCGAACCCGGGCCACATGCATGCCAGGCGAGCTTGCTGCCGCTTGAGCCACATCCCCAGCCTCTCCAATATGTTTTATGGTTTTCTTCCTTGTTAATATTTGGGGGGTCTCATTTTATTTGAATGAACTTTAAAACTTGAGAAAATTTGCTGGACATGGTGGCACATGCCTTAATTCTGGTGGTTTGGGAGGCTGAGACAGGAAGATTGCCAGTTCAAGAACAGCCTCAGCAACTGAGTAAGGCCTAAGCAACTTACAGAGACTCTGTCTCAAAATTAAAAATAAAAAGGGATGGGGTTGTATCTCAGTGGTCACTTGCCCCTGGGTTAAATTCCTAGTAAAAAACAAAAACAAAAAACAAAACTTGGAGAAAATTTGTGTCTTACCTTTTAAAGATATTCATGTTTTAAAGAATTTATATTGAGTATTTAAAATGTTTCTTTTTTCTTACTACTTACTATTCCCTTTCTCTCAGTGGGTTCAAGTTCTTTGTGAGAGAGGATGGGAATTCTTTGCTTAATATGATTATGACTGGTAAAATATGTAGAACAAATTAGTATACCTGTAAAAATATCAACAGATTTCCTTGGAGAAATTTCTAGAAAGATTTCTTTACTCAGTTTTTAACCCCTCTCTTCCAAAACTCCTTCTTCCATTTAACCCCATACTACATAAATCTTTGCTCTTATTTCTCCTTCTCGCCTATCTTTTATAGTTTGTAAACTTTGCCCCCAGGTTCCGCTCAATTCATTATATGTCAGCATATAATTCTCTGCCAATTTTCCCTTGTATGTAAAAGCCTTGAGCAGAAACCTTGCTTTGTACTTTTGACACACCTATTTATGGGGCACCTTCTTTGATTAAAGCACTGGGCTCCTCTGTAGTTTTAGCATCTTTTGGGGTTCATGTTGGGTCTTCAACAGATCCTGATGGATGGTATAAATTCACCCTCTTTCTAGTCACTGTCATGAGACAATTGAAGAATGGGCTGTGCCCCTTTCTGTGACAGTGGTAACTAGTAGTAACAGCTGGGAGCAGAGTGGAGAAAGCCTGTTTTTCAGAAGCTAAGGGAATTCATGTTCCCTTATCTGGAGAGCAAACCTGTTAGAAGATAAGCCCACTGAGATTCCTTACAACCTCCAGATTTGTGACCATAAAGAGGTGTTCCCGTGAATCAGTGACACCCTTTGTAACAGCCAAACCATGAAATTTTTGCTTGGCTAAGTAAACTATATAGCAAGCCATCTGAAGTTACCTGCAAAAAGTCAACAGATTTATTCTCCTTCTCTTCTAAGGTTAAACAATGCATTCTTGTTACTATGCTTGGGAGATGCATTAGTTTTTATCTTTATTGGGAAAAATAATATGTGAAATACATTTTAAACACATTTTAAAGCGTAGTAAAAAAAAAGCTGAGGTAACCATTTGTATTGTATAGAAGTTCCTGTGTGATTTTCCCTATCCCCCACCTCAGGTTACTGCTATTCTGTTACCAATAAAGTTTGGGGTTTGTTTCTCTTCTTTCTTTCTTTCTTTCAAAAAGAGAGAGAGAGAGAGAGAGAGAGAGAGAGAGAATTTTAATATTTATTTATTTTTTTAGTTTTTTTGGCAGACACAACATCTTTGTTTTTGTATGTGGTGCTGAGGCTCGAACCGGGTCGCACGCATGCCAGGTGAGCACGCTACTGCTTGAGCCACATCCCCAGCCCTCTTTATTTATTTTGAATTGTTTTTAGTTGTAGATGGACACAATATCTTTGTTTTATTTATTTATTTTATTTTATGTGATGCTGAGGATTGAACCCAGTTCCTCATGCATGAGAGACAAGCTCAACCACTGAGCTACAACCCCAGCCCCATGCTTCTCCTTATTTTATTTTTTCATTCATTCATGCTGCTGGGGATTGAACCCAGGGCCTCACACATGCTAGGCAAATGCTCTAACACTGAACTACATCCCCAGCCCTTTTTATTTTGAGACAGAGTCTTGATAAGTTGCCCAGACTGATCTTGAACTTGGCTATCCTCCTGCCTTAGCCTCCTAGGAGCAAGGATTACAGATAAGTAGCTGGGATTAGAGGCTTGTACCATGGTGACCAGCATATTATGTTTTAAAT